AATGAACTGTTTACCACATGTGTCTGCACGGATAGATATTTCAACATTAATTATGAGTTAAGATGCAAAATTATGCTTACAGTATGATACATCAATTAAAACACTAAGCACAACTATATATTATTTATGGGTACATACATGTAGTAACAGTACCAAAAAATGTTTAAAAAGCATAAAAAAGGTATTTAAGAACTTTGTTATAGTGGTTAACCCTATAGAGGGAGGAAGGAAAAGGGGATATGTAAGATGGAACCTTGGCTTGTCTGGTAACATTCCGGGTTGTTTATTTTACAGACCAGCAATAAGCGTGGTGACAATGCCAACATTTGCTAAAGCCAAGTGGTGGGCATGTGAAGCTTTATATTTTACTTTTACTTATTTTTGAAACACCAAATAATTAAGATATAGTTCTATTACATAGAGAGAGAGACAGTTTTTATTGAAACATAATTGATTATACATATTTGTGGGGTACAGACTTGAATATCAATACCTGTGTACAAAGATAGAGTTCTAAATAAAAATAAATGCTTCTAAGGTCACATTCTCTAGAAAATGTTATTGGTTGAGAAGGGTGAGGTAGAGAATAGCAAGTGAGGTATATTCATTAGGAAACAGGATGTCAAACAGGAACGATTTGGGTAAATACAATTTGTAATAAAAAGCGTTATCAATGGGGTTAACGCATTGTACAATAAGATGTAATATTTTCATGTTAAAAAGAATAACTTCATGGAATAATTAGTGTTAGGAGGCCAGTCTGTCCCTCTCTTTCTATTTTTCCCCATCAATTTCTAAGGCCCCCTTATTCCTATGTTTTCTCACCAGCAATTAAAATAATTTTTACTATTAAATTTGATGGAACCACTTTAGCCACTCGATAGAGCCAATGGGCAGATTACCCCACTGGCCTATGGCAAAGACCAAATCTCCTGCTCTTGGGCCAACTAGTCAAATTGAAGGAGGTTATTAACCTTAAGATCCTGTAACAAAGAACAAAGTCCATGACCTGAAAATTCTCCCCCATTTAAAGAAGGGGTAAAGATTTCTACTGTTCATTCCCACCTAGGCATGCACTATTCAACAGGAGGTGAAGAAAAGAAGCAGAAACAAGAAGATAGTGTCCGGAAGTCCCACCATCACTTTGTCAACTGGATTCAAAACACAAGCATTTACCACCAGTCCTGGTTCCCCCAGCCCCCAACTGACTGGAAGGAAGAGTGTAGTATGAACCAACCTAGTCTAGTAGGTAAACATTCATGTCAAATGATCACTTTCAGTGACTACAGCAAAATAGCCACTGGCTGCATATAATACATGGAAGCAGAAACAGAATATTTGTGAATGCTTTACCGTTAGGTCTTCCAGGAACTCGTGAAAGAGAGCTTGCTACTTAGTCCTAAAGACTGAAGTCTCTAGCTGCATATAATACATGGAAGCAGAAACAGAATATTTGTGAATGCTTTACCATTAGGTCTTCCAGGAACTCGTGAAAGAGAGCTTGCTACTTAGTCCTAAAGACTGAAGTCTCTCTGCACAGATTCCAGCACCTTGGACCCAAAATTGATCCCAGAATCTTCATGAACTGTGGAAAATGAGTGATGGAACTCTCTTCCTAAGTTTCTTGTTATTCTGCAGATTATCAGGGTTGGTGGATTTTTCCAAGTGAACATGCAAAACTACACCTGTGTAGTGTGATTTCCAGAACAACATTGAAACTTCTGTATCCCTCCCCAAAAGACCACCTTGAATAGGTTGCTGATACCCGAAATTTTTTCAGCAAGAGAAAAAGGACTTTAAGGTTCCAACTGGAGATTAGGCTTGAAGATTAGGCTTAAATATTCCTGGGAGAGAGTGCCCTATGGCCACACTCTAGCTGAGATGAAACGGCTGAGAGCAGGTCGTTTCGGGGGCCAAGTTTGGATGGCAGAACAAGGACACTAGCTTCCTCAGACAAAGTGGGAAGAGGAGAGGGTTTATGATTACAGGAAGAATAAAAGCAGAGTCTATGGACATGGAGAACCAAATTTACTTTCTTCCCAATTTTGCTGATATGACTGCTACAGGGCTGGGCTGTAGAAATAGTTGCACTGTTAATAAAAGCTGATGTAATGCTTAATTTGCACCAGGTGCTTTTTAAATACTATTCACTCATTCCCACAACCTTTTAACATAAGCATTCTGATCCTCATTTTAGAGAGAACACTGGAACTCAGTGATGAAACTTGCCCGATATTACAGCACTAGCGTACGGTGAGCCTGGCATTTGATCCCAGGTCTACTTGGCTT